GGACAAAAGAAAATTGATTGAGGAATTACGTACTATAATATGTAATTCCCTTCTCCCCCTGCTTTTACTTTCCAGAGAGAGTCCCTTTTGAGATGCTTTGTACACACCCACCTCTTCTCAGACCATATCCTAGGGCCCAGTGATTCCTCCTATCTCCCAAGGTTATTCTCAGAGCCCATTACAGGAGAGACTAGTCTTCCAGTTAAGGGAAAAGAGGGACAGAGAAAAAGAGGAACAAAGAAGGAATCCCTTGCTTGCTATCTCCATTCTTAATAACCTTAATGATCAATAGGAAAGCAGATGTTAAGAGAATATAGAATCACACAACCTAAAGCTTTAATCAGGCTTTTCTTTACATATTCATAGAACTTCCACTGGGAAACTCTTCCTTATCTGTCCATGGACTGACAAAAACCTGCAATCAATGTCCATGCATACAACACTCTTCATGACAGAAAACCTGAAAGTGAGATTCACAACATATACTGAGGCTCTCTGTATAGCAATATTTCACAGATGTGTTGACAGCCTACTCCACCATCATACCTTGAAAGGAAAAGTGAAAGTCCATTGATTATAAAGGGACTTAATGTCAATCATTTCTGCAGATTTTTGGTTAAGGAATTTCTAGCCTAGTTTTATCCTTTTTTTAAGTACAGATGTATGTCTTTATTTATAAAGATATACATCAAGAGATCAGATTCCAGATGTAATCTAAGGGCGAGTCAGTTCCAAACAGTAGGAGCCAGATAGGAAAAACTTGTAGTCCAAGCTGGAAGACATCAGTTTTGCCCCACACCCTTTTCTATTGTGTCTTTTCATATAGATAATCTCTCTGCATGTCTTTCAGCAACTTGAATGGCCCTGTTAGTACTATGCATCAAAATTCCTGTGAGTAGATTGAATTAAAAGTTATTGATTTATTGATCTCTGGATTTCATAGCTGCTCAGAGTCACTTGACAATGAGATGGGCAATATTTAAATTTAATAAATATAAATAAATTTAAGAGCACCACCTTGTACTAAATAATAAACGATAGCTTGCAGAATACACATGTGTGCTATTTGCTCTATCAGCGTTATGTTTAATGCTTTATACTTAGTATCATACTGGAGTAAGCCCTCAGCATACTGGTACCAGCAGTTCCACCAGTCCTGATATTCTATATCAACTGTGATTCTTAACCGATACCTCTCTTATTCTACCAGCCTCCTTTACCATCTCCTCTTACTACCCAGATGAAGACAGTAGTGGCAGAAAAATCGTAGCATTCCTGCAATTGCCAGCAACTACATCTCCCTCCTCCCCCAAATGCAAGAGAATTGTCAGCTACATTTTCTCCAAACAGCAAAGGCCACTACAAGGACTGCACTGTCAAAAGTTGGCAACAACCACTGTTCATAGTGATCAATGATTTGATCGCATACTTTACAATAATCCAAAGAGGAGAAGTTGAGACTAGCCAATAGTGACTTTTTCAGGATCTTCCTTTTGAATGTAGGGATTTGAACCTATTTTACCAAATATCAAATATTTTATCTCACTTCTTGGAAAAATTAATGTTAAAAAGAGCATGCAACTACTATTTTTTTTAAAGGCAGTTCTGTGTCAAAGATTTACTTCCCCAAAATTTCTTGTTCACTTTTTGTGTCACCACAGTGGATATTTTATTATTCCATCACAAATAGATTGTAAAAGAAGCATGGCCACATCACCTATTAAGTCTCAAAGTGAGGAAAGTTAAAATTATGGAGAGGAACAAGATATGATTCTATGGGATTACATTTTTCATTTTGGTTTTAAAGAAGAAACTCCGTAGTTCTTAATATATCACAACATACGTATTGAGCCTACAATAAAATGTTTCTCCTGATGAGGGTGCCAGCTAATCAGCCAAATATTTTATTCAAGGCAGGCATGTGAGAGAAAGAGAGAGAGATGTACAAACACAAAGAAATATAAAATTCTATAAAATTTTATAGTATCCTCACCCTTTGGGGCTATTTGGCTGTTTTTCCTGTTCCACTAAACATTTATTGCAGCATATAGCCAAACGTGTCTGATCTAAAAATAACAATAACAACAGTAAAATTGAATTTAGTTGGTTAGTACTAGGATGGTCTATGAAATCCCAGATCTGTATTCTAGATTGGTAAGCTACCTCAGAATTAGGCAGTGAAAAAAAAAACACTTTTACTTATTGCCAGGAAAACAACATTATTGTGTCCATGCAGTCATCATGAATTGAGTCTAACTAAAAGTCTTTACCATAGCCACTGAGTTTCCAAAAGACTGCCTATTCTTATTTCCAGATTGTGTCAGTTTAGTTGCTTAAGGATTTTACAATTGAAATGAATTCTCTATTCTCCATCTACTTTTTCTGTAAAATAATTGCAGTTCGGGGGGGGGGGAGGAAGTGAAGTGTTAGGAGTGGGAGTACAATGGAGATTGGTTTTGAGAAGCATTTTAGATAAATTTTGTATTCTATTTTTTAAAAACATTAAAAAGAAAAAGAAACATCTGAAAATGTTGACCCTGACCCATCAGTAACATTATGACACTACCACCATGACCTTTAAAGAACTTTGGGAAAAAAATTTCAATCCTGGATTAAAATGTCTGGTGATTGGTTAAATGCAATTTGCACTAATTATTAGGAACAAATTCATGATATGGTATGTGCAGTATTATTCTGGTCTCTTCCAAGCCATGTGCTTAAAAACTGTCCTTGTCAGACAAAGAGTAGAACATGTATGATGTAAATGATGGTGATGTAAATCATGTTTTATTGGTATCTCTTGTCCTTTGACCAGATTCCATTTTTTTGTTTCATAAAGCCTTGGATCAAGTAGTATATACTAAAATATTTTAAACACAACAACTACTGAAACAAATTCAGTTTGAAGCCTAATAGGTCAGAGAAAGAAACATCTTGGGATTGAGGATTCATTTTGCTATTACAGAGCTTCTGATCAATACAAGCAAAATAGGAGACATTGTTCTGCATAAACTGAGAACTGAAGATTACCTTATTTGGGATCATGGTGGCTCAGTTTTCCTATACTCTGGAATTCCCTGACCCCAAATTCTGTAACATCTTTTAGGTGCCTGTTGGAGATCCATATTTGGAGACTACTCTTCAGGTTTTATTTTCTCTCTGCCACCATTAACAAGTTGTGGATAAAATTTATATTTTTCATATATTATTTGTGATCTTGTTTTTTTCACTGCTGTATTTTAAATACTGTAGTAGTATTCAAAATAAAATACAAATACAAATCTGGTAGTACATAGATATAAGTAATATTTTCAGATCCATATTTTTCCTTTTATAAATTATAATGAAACTTCCCAGAGTTTAAATAAGCCTCTTTGTAATCAACCAGTTAGGTGATATCCATTATTCACAAATACCCACAAAATGCAGAAGTATATCATTACAACAACTTATGACATTTGCATGACAATGTCATTGTACAAATGATGTAAATTCCTATGGTAAATTCCTATGATCCACTGGGTGCAAATTTCTTATCTTGAGGTCTAGAAAATGGAGGTTTCTCAGAATCATAGACTAACAGGCAGCATCTGCAGCCATATGAGAACAATGTGCTATCTCTCAGGTGTATCTTTCACACATGAAGATCTGCCCATAGAATCTAATCTTCAAGTAGCAGACAAGATATGTGAATTAACTACTGGCAGTTTGAAGAATGTCCTTCATGCTGCTTTAGTAATTGCTTTATTAACTCTAGTACCTTTATTTAGAATAGAAAAATTAAAACCACATGCCCCACAGAGCTTCCCATCCCCTGAATTTATAGCCCTTAGTCCAAGCCACCAAAATCCAGTGACAAAATTGTTTAACACATCCATTTAACTCTTTAAGTCCTTTTTGCCCAAATCCATAGATGAAAAAATAGGCTGCAACAATTGATTCTGCAACTACATTTATAGCATTTACAAATAGCAAGTAATCAATAGGGTTTAAACTGTACAACTCTAATATTATTTAGATAATAGGACAAGATCTTAGAACATACAAACATTCATAATCTTTTCTTCCTATTCAATGACCAACTTTCTCTGAATTACTAGTATATTGTAAAGATATTGTTTAAAACATATGTACACAGGATGTATATAATGGATGTAGTGTTCAGATGGGGGCGGAACTCTTTACTGTATGTTGTAAAATACAAAGTTTGTTAACATCAATAGGTTTGAAAACTATATTTGACTTTATTTTGAACATTTACATGTTTCCTGTCTGACAAAGGATGCACACTACAAGGCTTTTGTTATGCAATTCCTTTGTCTCTTTTGCAGAATGTTATGAGGGTTTGTATATGCACAGAAGTTCTTACCTTCCTCTTGTTTTCCTACCATCTTCTCCTACCTTTTTTTCTTTCCACTGGAAAAAAATAATTAAAATGGGAAAAGTCGAATAGCTGAAAGATGACTTTTGACCAATAGTACTATGAATGGTCCATCTGAAAAGACAGAGATAATCACAATGGCTGGTGGTTGCATGAAAATCAATGCAGGATAATAAAATGGAAAAAACATTTATGGAGAATGGCTATAACTTAGGGAGAGAACAAATTCTTTCCATATAGAATAAAGGTGAAAAAAGTTTATGCCATCAAAGGTTCAATGAGGTCTTCCTAGACAGCATAGCCAGTTGTGTTATATCACCAGATTAGAACCAATTTTTTGTCCCATTGTAGTGGGCTGTGGGTATTTAAAAGAAAGAAGGGCTTTATTTACTGGAGCAAAATAAAGAAGTAACAGTAAAAAAAATCCCACCCATATGTATAATGTGGTCCCATCTACTCTAGGATCCTGCAAAATTATTTAACAAAGTTCTTGGCCTCCCAGACATTACTCTACCTGATTTATGGTTTATGTTCTTATCTTGCATGAACCCCACAAGTTACAAATATTTTTCCATGATGCATAATTAAACAAACCACAAAAGTAAGCAGCCCTAATGCCAGAAGAGCTGACCTTTCCATGTGGCAGAGGGACATCTTAAACTGAGGGTCAAAATGAATGGTAGATAATCACCAGATAAAAGGAAGAAGACCATAGGCTTTGCTATGAGAAATACTTTCTTTAAAGTCTCAAAATAAGAAACAGTGTTAATGAGAAGAGACAATGGTTTGTGTGTAGTAACAAGGTACTTCTTATTTCTGGAGATGTTATAGCCACTAACCTCTACTTTCAGCAGTCCTCTCCTTTCAAACTGCACAGTGTATTTTCAAGCTCTTGCTACACATTGTGTGAGATGCCAGATTACAATATGCAAAGCATGAATTGTACGGATTAGTTTTTCATTGAGATGCTGGATAAAACCTCTGAATGCTCAAAATAGGAAGTTCCAGGCAAAGGACAGAGAAAGTGTTCCTCTTGTAAAACAGCACTGTCCGCAGGCAAGCAAGCACAGAGTTTTCTCAACAATGGTAAGTGAAGGATCTTATCTTTATTAATTTCATCATAGCAGATAAAAAAATGAGAGAAAGTAACACAAAAGAACAGGAAGAGTTTGACTGCTTGGCAAATTGTTCATAAGTAGCTGGCTTCTAAATTCTTTCAATTCAACCTACATACTTGGAACTGTTTCTTAATCTCACAGCTTTTGAACTTTGAAGCAAGTTGTGAAGAACTTCTGTGTGTGTGTGTGTGTTAAAAGTAAGACAATGACTAAGTTGCATTCAGCTTAAGTGACTGCAGCAGTAGACCAGAACTTAGAACAAAATGGTGGAAAGATCAGTGTTTGGATTGATATTAGAGGTGTCAAAATTAAAACTCCTGCCATATAGTTAATTAGATTTTTCAGTCTGATCTATTTTAGAGCACTGCTGATAAGATAAAATGGCAAACAATCATTCAAGTTGCTTGATGTTCTTGGAGGAAAAGGGAGTTTAAATGCAACAACATTTTTTAAAGTAGCAAAATTGTCAGAGCTGATGAACTCAGTTATGGACTTTGTGAAATTGGTAGTTAGAAACAACTATAAGAGGCAAAGACCACTGAAATATATTACAATTATATCTGCACATCAATCTCTATGCATCTTTCTCATCAGGATGTCTGTCAGATATTAGGAATTTGCAAACAAAATGGTTAATTTGAGACCAATATATAACTTCATCTTTTACAAAAGATAAATGTTCTCTTCGGTACTTTGTTGTGTGTTATAATCTTTCTTATGCTCACATGCACTGGAATTAAGGACAGAAGGAAAAATAAAAAAGGGGAAAGTAATGATAGTAGAAAAAAATATCCTCCTATCAAAATGATAATATTATTCTATACATGTTTACTAAGAAGTATGTCTCACTGATTTCAGAGAAACTAATTTCCATATGAAATTAATCAATTTATAGCCCTGTTTAGGTCATTTTTAAAAATAAAGAAAATGTATTGCTTTTTAATGTAAATTATCAAAACTTTAAATATACGTGTGTGAGAGAGAGGGAGGGAGGGAGGGAGGGAGAGAGAGAGAGAGAGTCATTTAGCAACTGTTTTAGTTATTACTAAGATGAAAAAGTAACTTTATGACCAATCCTTGCTTTTATGACTTTTGCAGGTCTGTAAAGCTAAGGATAGCTGAAGTAAGTTCATAAACATAGTCACAGTTTTACTTAGCAACCTCTTTAACAACTAACTTGCAGGTCCCAGTTGTGGACACTTAATGAGGACTATCTGTAGATAGGTAGACTTTATACAAGCCACCTTCAGTCCATCTCAATCTCATCAGTTGGCTAGGAATTCAAAGAACTGTAGTCCCAGCATCAAAGAGCCCCAGAATGGAGAACGTACTTCTCAAGATGTTTAACCAATCTGCCTCAACTCCTGGAGTAACTAGGAGCAACTGAACTGATTTAAGTCCATTGAATGTATCTATCAAAGATCGTGTTCTATTTTTTTCTTCCTTTGAAAAATCCCAAACTGCATTCTCAGAATTTTTCAGCTGTTTTTTAGATCTTGGGAATGTTGTCTTATATACCTGTGCTTAGTTTAGAGATGTTTTTGAACCTCTAGTAGAATTGCTTACATTTATACAAAATAAAGAAGCAAAGTAGAATGTATATTCTGAAGAATTTGCATTGGGTGTGGATTAAAAAAACACATTATCATGCATTTGTGTATGTATCTGGAAGGGGAGGGAGGAGGGGAGGGGAGGGAGGGGAGAGGAGGAGAGGAGAGATTTTCCTGTTCTTATCATCAGAACTGACCAATAGTTTGTGGTGTACAATAGATCAAGCCACATAGTCAAGTCCTGAAGCAACATAGTGCAACTTCATTGCAACAAATACATGCGGGGCCTTGCTCATGTCCAAAAATGATATTATAAGGAAATGAACAAACAAACAATGATCTGATTTTTTTTCAGCAAAGTTTCAAATGTGAATGCCAAATGGCAGGAGAGGTCACTTAAGGATGGATCATTTAATTTAAAGATCAGATACCTTCCTGGACCTTTGCCAATTTCAAAGCTCTCTTCTTGTTCTTCAGAAAATCTGCATCAGTGGATGGCAGAGGTTTCTTTCTGGGACAATGGGTTAGAAGTTACTCTCTACACTAATATGGAGGGAAGTTGCTCAGTTGACCCTGTATTTTTCTAATACTTAGAAAAGTATTGGGGTATAATGTAGTAGGCAGATCAGCTTAGCTGTCAGTACTGCTTCTAGTGGCATCTTATATGTTGTCTTCTATAAAACCAGTTTTCTAGCTTGGTACATTCTCTAAATCGTAATCCTGACCAATTATCTACCTAATTCATAAGGGAAGAATAAGGAGAAACCTCTTTGCCACTTATGATTTACATATGAGCCATAGTGTGAAGCCTGATGCTATACAGTTTGGAAATGGGTAGTCATAAAACTGACATGGATAAGACAGGAGCATTCAGAGAGAGATTGACAAAAATGTCTTGTCCACCATACTCTTGCAACATTGTGGAGCATGAATGATATCTGCAGGGCTCAAACAAAAGATTATACAACAGAACCTTAGGATATGAAATGGGAGGCAATATGAATCAAATAAAGAAATGAATGAAATCAGTGATCTGTTTCAGATATTGTTGGTCCAGCTTCAGTCCAGATATTGAATACAGTGGTACTTTGCTACTCAACTGCTTTGAAATTTATTGAATTTGGTATTTAATGTATTTTGACATAAAAATGTTGTCCTGGTACTCATCATTGTTTGGTACTCAATGCACAAGCAAGAACTTGCCAGTGTTGGCTGCCTTGTGACTCACTACATTATTCCTTATGGGAAATAATTGTTTGGTACTCAGCATTTCTGGTACTCATTGCACCCCAATTAACAATGAGTACTGAAGTACCATTGTACCAAACATGCAAATATTGTGCTTGGACAGATATTGCACAGTTTTGTTTGTTATGTTGGTTAGGAAGTTTGGAAACTCAAATCCAGTTCATCTGCAAAGCTCCAGATTTAGTATATATGTAGAAATTTGTGACATTTGCATATAATGCTTCTGATTATTCATAAAGTCTGAACAATACAGAATGTTTTATGCATTTAGAAACCCTCTGAAAATAAATTAACTTATTTCTCTGAGGGACAGTTTGTGAAAAATGCATTCTATGCAGCTTCTACTTTCCCTCACTAAATATTTCCTTCTCATCTTGGACTACAAACCTGGACAACAAAAGTTAGCTAGTATTCTGTATCCAGGTTTTGCAGTTCAGATCTGGCACTCTTGTTCCTACCTCCATTACAGGAATACCCACTTTTGCAAAGAGATGGAATAATTATTCCCTAGGAATAAACATTTAACTGAAAGATTTTATAACCATATGGTTATAACCTAACCATTTCCCACTAATTTTAAGATCAAACAGGCATCAAGGGTCATGCCTTTACAGTGGAATAGTGTCTGATAAGAACTGCTTTCCCTAGTCCTCTAGATGTATTGGACTATAACTTCTATCATTCTTATGGGGATATCCTGATCTGCACATTTATCTAAAGGGTTTCATCGACATTTTATGTAGCAAAAGGATCCAATTCCTCATGTATTCATCTCTCTGACATCAAACATCATGGATGAAATGCCTCTTTCACAATAGAAAAATAGCCTTTGAGGATGGAGGTTCGTTCTCCGAGTTTGCGTGTTGATTTCTGAATATTTCATCACCAGGCTAGATAACATCTTCAGCAGCATTTTGGGGATGTCAGTATTCTTCTACTTATAAGGACTTTGTATGGTCAGTAGGTATTGTGATGGGGAGGTCACATCAGGTGAGGATCCTGTGATGGGTCAGGTGTGGGTCACATCAGATGAGGATCTTGTGATGGCCTTGTGATGGCCCAGGTGTGGGTCATGTCAGGTGAGGATCTTGTGATGGGTCTTGTGATGGGGGAGATCACATCAGGTGAGGGTCATTTGGAGGTGAGGTGTTGGTTGGGCAGATTGCGTGGGTTGGTTGAGGGTCAGTGCCATCACTGGTTGGCTGTGCAATTGATTTGGATTCTGAGGAGTTCATAGGCTGGTTGTAGGGTGATGTGTCTATTGATGGAATTGTTTGTGGAGGGCCAGGCTGCGATAAACATGCATGGATGGTGGTGGTAGTGTGGCCAATAATTCTTGTATTGCTCCAATCAAATTGGTGCTATCGGTGTAGTGTGGGTAGAGATTAAGGATTTGGGATTGTGGCAATTGACTGCCAGCTGATGTTCATGGATTCTGGTTTTTAATTGATGTGATGTTTGTCCCACATTTGTTACAGTTGATTTTGTAGTTACACTGTTTCTTTCATCCTTCTGTATCTTGTCTTTGGTTCCGGATAATTCCTGGTGGAGTATGGCTGTGGGTTTGTGGGCTATTTCTATTCCTAGAGAATTCTGGCTATCATTTCTGACATCGCTTTTGTGTCTGGCACTAGATTTTGTATGATGGCTGGCTGTGTAGTACAGGGCTTTTCAATCTTTTCACCGATTGTACCACTTTTAGGATATGGCAATATCCGAGTACCACCAGTCACCTAGCAAGGTGTCAAAAACTTGATGAACAAAAAAAAGGAAAAAAGTGATAAAGTACAGGTAGTCCTCGACTTACAACAGTTCGCTTAGTGACTGTTCAAAGTTACAATGGCACTGAAAAAAGTGCCCCCCAATGCACAGCCGAGCAAGACACCTGCCTGCCGTCCGGCAGCAGTCTCATTCCCCTCCCCCGCTACCACTTTTCTAGGATGGTTGCGTACCACCTGCCAGATGCCAATGTACCCCAGGTGGTACCCGTACCATTGGTTGAAAAGCCCTGGTGTAGTACATTGTGGTTTGGATGCTATGTGTCGGAATATAAAACATTTTGGATAGCTGTTGCAGAGAAAAACATCAAGCAACCCTTTCTCTTCCACTTCTCTTAGTGCCGTGGTGCTGCAGTGCATCCTGGCCCTTCTGAAGAGGGGCTGGATGCAGC